GAGAATATATACACCCATTCCTCGTTGAAAAATCACTTGAAGTATATCCGCTCGTATCTGCTCTATATTATGACACCACTTAAATCCTTCCTTTGCTAATAATAATAATTAATAATAATTTATTTCGTACATACAAGATTGATAATAATAAAACAGATAAACAGTGTGACTACCCGAAAGGAATGTAAATAAACATTAACGAGATCGCCGAAGATCATTGCTTACATGGTGAAATTAATCGCGCGCACAAGGATCGATAGCGAAGCGGATTCGATTAATCGAGACATCGGTCGGAAGCAGTCGGAAGACAGCGGCGATCAGCCGGATCAGTGCGGTGGATACCGCTTGGAGCCTACTTCGCATTCTTCGCAACGTTTACGGTGGCGGTACGGTCGTACGATACGGATTACGGGACGGGAGGCGCAGGCTCCGCTCCAGCAGGCTCTCCTGTCTCCTCAGAAAGAGAGAGAGAGGAACGCGATCGACTGCACCTCGATGCGCGATCTCTCGTTACGCACGTTGCGACCGCGTGGCTCCGAGTGACTTCGATCTCCCGTCGGTTTGCCGCCGTTGGGTTGCATCAAATAAGGATCGGCCACCCGCACGCAAGCACGCACCCACGAAGGCACGCACGGAGCCGAGGATGGGCGACAATGGCAGAGGGGACGTCGCGTCGGTGTCGCCGGCGACATCGGAGGACGCGGCCAAGGCGGAATTGTACAAGGAGGAAGCGAACGAGTATTTCAAGAGTACGTAAGCCACGCACGTGGAAAGCGCGACGATTGTAGGCCGGATGCAATCACATTTAACGCACTTCGCCGTCCCGCACGGTCACGTGTGCCCCAAGCTAACCCCAACTTTCGCGTCCGCGGGAGATTACGGGGACCGCGCGAGTTAAACCGCCTCCGTGTTAAATTGGAGCGAAGAAGAGCGTTGAGAAAAGATTTTTTGTTCGACATGCTTTAATTCGATATGCCGAAGGCATTGATTTCGTCTTGACGCTTTTCAATGTTTCCTCGACGCGAGAACTTCCAGGAACTCTCAGGGGAGGTTCTCCTCCATTCTTTCTGTGATCTTGGAAAAAGTTAGCGACGCCATGTAATTGTGCTAACAATACCGGAGTATTATGTCAAAGGAAAAAAATAATGATGCAATTATTACTTCCTTGTTTATTCACCATCGCACTTTTTTCTTTTTAGATCAAGTATACGACAAAGCTATTGAATTATATACCAAAGCCATAGAATTAAATCCATCAGTAGCCATATATTTTGGCAATAGGAGTATTGCCTACCTAAGAACAGAATACTTTGGATATGCGTTGACAGACGCTTCTACAGCCATCATGTTAGATAAAAATTATGTTAAAGGCTATTATCGGAGAGCTGCCGCTTACATGTCCCTCGGCAAGTTCAAACTGGCTCTCATGGATTATAAGACTGTTGTAAAAGCTAGACCCAATGATAAAGATGCAAATGACAGATATATGGAATGTTGCAAGATGATTAAAGTGTTAGCTTTTAACAAAGCCATCTCTGTCGAGGATAAAAAGAATATAGCTGACATGATTAATCTAGAAGATATGGGTGAGTATTTTTTATTCATTTTTTCTACTTCTCTGAAAATGATTGAAAATTATTATTATAAAACAAATTATTATATCATATTTTTATCATACATGTGATTTCTCAGTAAAAATCCTACTTGTTGACTCATGGTATATTTATGTATTTTAATTATGTATTTTAATTATGACATATACCTTGCAATCACGAATATACCGAAAACTTTCTGTTTGTTTCATTAATTAATAATCATATATCTGGAAATAAATTATGTATATAATGAAAAATGAAACGAATTATATTCACAGCTATGACAAACTGTCGAATAATATATTAATAATATATATAAATAAATATGACTTAATTTCTTTCTGAAATAAGATCATTTTTGATATATTTTACAAGTATTATAAATGTTTATTGAAAAATATTTCAAATATATTTTGCAAAAATTTTGATTATGTTTTTCTGACGTCATAATTTAAAAATAGTGGTAATAAATGAACAGAAGTCTCAAAGCTTTCAATGTAGTAATATTATTTTTAGGCTATTTGTATAATTTTTATGAAAACAAGACAAAATATGTTTATTATGTAATTAAAATATAAATATTTATTGTTTATTATATAATATTTTTTAATGCACATTGTGGCTAAACATTAATAGTTAGTAAGAGAGCTAATATGCTTGAATTAATTATTTTGATAGCGATTGAAGGTGAATACACAGGTCCAAAATTGGTTGACGGGAAAGTCACTCTAGAATTCATGAAAGATTTATTAGAATGGTATAAAAATCAAAATAAGTTGCACCGTAAATATGCTTATAAAATCCTGTTGGACGTTAAATCGTGGTTTATGGCACAACCTAGTTTAGTGGACATTACAATTCCAGAAGAAAATAAATTCACCATTTGTGGGGACATACATGGTCAATATTACGACTTGCTTAATATATTTAAGTTGAACGGATTACCATCAGAAACTAATCCATATGTATCCTTTATAAAACTTAATAATATAATATTATATATGTGTGAGAGAAATTCATATAATTAATTCATTATTAGTAAACCTGTTAAGAACTTATAAACGCGCTAATATAATTTATACACTGATATACGAATATCGAAAATTACCCAAAAATATATTTCTCTTAATAGTTGCATATGCAGTTATTCAATGGAGATTTTGTAGACAGAGGTTCATTCTCTGTAGAATGCATATTTACTTTATTTGGTTTTAAATTATTATATCCAAATTACTTTTTTATGTCAAGAGGTATGTAGTCTTCCGTCCGACATTACGAAATTTGAATTTACATGTTCATGAAATATTTTGTATCTTTAGGTAATCATGAGTCAGCAACAATGAACCAAATGTATGGATTTGACGGAGAAGTTAAAGCTAAATATTCTGTCCAGATGGCAGAATTGTTTACAGAGGTTTATAACTGGCTCCCTCTTGCACACTGCCTCAACCGTAGAGTGCTTGTGAGTATTTTTCAAAGTTGTCATATATATTCATACTGTATATACTGTATGCATATATATTTATATTATGTATGTACTATACAGTTTTATATACAACATATATTTATGTTTACTCACAATCATTAATTCTCCGATCAAATAATAAAATTTCTAAACCGTGGTATTTGGGATGATTAGATTTGAATCTGAATATTCGCTAACTCATAATTACGAGTCAACTGTTTTCATACGGAGCCATTCGTCATCCCACGTATATTGCATGTAATTTTCATACAATTATAATGATTCATTTTATACCAGGTGATGCACGGTGGATTGTTTTCGCGGGATGATGTGACGTTGAAAGAAATTAGAGAAATCGACAGAAACAGACAACCACCTGACGAAGGATTGATGTGTGAACTATTGTGGTCGGATCCGCAACCGCAAATGGGCCGGGCGCCCAGCAAGAGAGGCGTAGGTGTTCAATTCGGACCCGACGTCACACAGAATTTCCTCAGTATAAATTCTCTTGACTACATCGTGAGGAGTCACGAAGTTAAAAACGATGGATACGAAGTGGGACATGACGGAAAGTGTATCACAGTATTCTCTGCTCCAAATTACTGGTACGTTCATCATATACAATAATTACATACTAACACATTACATCTGTGTCTACAATATAATTTTATGTATTTAATCTTCGACTATAGCAACGGGTCATTTAAACCTATGAAGTGAAAATTTTTGGACGATTGTATAATATGTATGATTGATATTATGAAGTTCTAAATTGTAGATAAAAAAAATTTTGAATCTTCCTCTATCAATTACCGTAAGGCGAAAGTTTACTTGCTGTATTTCGAACAGAACGTTTTAAAATTTAGGTGTAGTTTTCTCATAGCTGTAGTTAAGGATTAATATGAGTTTATAAGTATATGAACTTTAATGTTTTATTATTAAATCTTAGTGATACTATGGGTAACCGAGGTGCCTTTATCACACTTAACGGTAGTGACATGAAACCTTATTTTACGTCGTACGATGCAATGGTATGTACTTTATTCACAGATTAAGTTATTTTATGTTAGTTACTTGCTTTTATCATATTTTATATTCATGTACCATTTTTATCTCATTACAGCCTCATCCAAACGTAAGGCCGATGGCTTACGCCAATTCTTTACTAAAGTTCATGTGCTAGTGGAACATCTAGGTATTATTGAAAAATGAATAATATAATAACTGAAATATAAGTAGTCCAATCAAAGTGTGCGTAATATATTTGATACTGAAATGGGGAAGGTAAGAGACACTTTAGGCTTCTCCGCAACAATAATTATTATATTCTTTCTAGGAGATCGCGATCGAATTTCTTGTATTATAAAATATATGCGATGAGAATGCATAATATTGATGGGTACAAAAGCGAGAAAGGTTTGCTTATTTTTACAACAGGCAAACAAATCTATCAGACTTCTTATCTATGATAAGAAAACACGGCTCATCAAACACTGGCGATTTGTGTTCGTTTGTAATAAAATGGCGCGAAGAGAACGTTTCTATTTTGTACCCTCAATCTACGACCACCTTGCTCGTTAAAGATACCTACGTGCGCGTAAATATAAAAAGAACAAAGAATTTTGATCTCGAAGATATTTCCACGGAATTTTAACTTTATAATGTATTATTTATATGAAGCGCTGAATCTTAAACTTTTAATCGATTCTTTAGCGACCAACGGTGGAGTTTCAATGAAATATAGTATAATTATTACAAGAGTATACATACATGCGTATGCAAAAAACTAGAATAATTATGTAGTACAATGTTCTAACCAATCACTACTTGTCACGTTATTTGTGACAATTTTTTTACAAATTGTGATTGGAGGGACTTCTTTGATCTAACATTTTGTTTTTTGTTAATAATAAATGATGTTTATGATGTACATACATAATTGATATTTTATTTTACGCGATGACTAATAAATAACGAATGCGTTAATTGATATAAATTTATGAGAAATAACGTATAATTTCCTCTGGTAAATCATTCCGATTTCCACGAGTCACTTTCAAAATCTTAATTCCTTTGTCTGCATGTAACTTCTCGAACAGTTCCGCGTGTCGTTGCGGTGTTTTGTGTATTTGCGGAATAGTCCCGATTACAAAAGCTTTCTTAGGAGAATCGAAAAATATGTTCATTATTTTTTTCTTAAAGTCTTCACTAAATAATTCCATTTTGCCGATTTCATCGATAAGCAATATATCCTGCAATATTAATACAATTGATGTTATCAAAGTGTTGAAGTAATTAAAAATTTATTTTCGGGCAAGTCATTACTCTTACAGTGTCCAAATCCAATATTGGAAGCGCTATAGTCTCGAAATTATCTCGAAAAACATGGTAGTTTCCTACTTGATACCTGGGAGAGCTTTTATTTGGAGCATCTGTTGAAGTTCTGTCAGTAAAAAATGTTAAATACAATGTGTTCAGTTACTTTATTGTTATTTTTATCATTGTTATGAATGAATACGCACAATTTTGCTAAGGATAATCTGTTTCCAGGATCCTTTACTCGCACAATGTCAAAGCCAATTCTGGAGCCTCTCTGATCTCGCACTTCCTCTGTGTAAAATCCATCAAACCTGCTGCCCTTTTTCTCCAGCGCGAACGCGATTTTTTTGCACACTGTAGTTTTACCAATCCCTATAAAATATTCAATGATTCGTTTCTCTAGCTGTAATATTAATACAGAGAATATTGTCTTATTTTTTCTTCCTAAAAAATTATTCGTATTATATGCGTTTGCATTTTTATTTATTATAAAAATCATTTAAAATAATATTTAATATTTTATGTAAGAGTATATTTATTAACTTGTTTGTATACGAAAAGTGAAAATATATCAAATACATTGTATTATTTAACTTAATATTATTTTCTAAATATAGAACTCTGCCAACGTTCGAGTAATATTCAAGATAATTGGATACTTGAGTATTGGCAACAATAGAGAATAATTTAGTTTAGTATCTTAATTAATAATATAAAATATATTAATAATGATATAATAAAAATGTAGAATATATATATAATTTTAAAAATTATTTGTTAAACATATATATATACAGGTATAAATTAATCTTTTTAAAATTTTATGTAAAAGGTATGTGAAATTACTTTTCTCAAAATATACTCGCCTGCAAAAAAACTGGTAACTATAACGACCTATATATAGTATAGTGACCTATAATATAGTAACCTATTTTTTATGGGTGAATATATTTTGGATGTGTGTGTGTGTGTTTATTTGTACGTATGTAAAATACAATATACATATATATATATTTGTATTACAAAATTTAAAAAGGTGCATTCTCCATTTTAATACATATGCTGTAGCATTTTATTCTTGTTCATTGAATGTTAAACAAAGGTAAAACGATACATCATGCGTAAAACGCAACGACCTTTTAACGTGCTATAATAAAAATATGTGTGTGTTTGCTGTATTTTACAAACGTACGCCCAAAACACCACACTCGCCCGTAAAAGAGCAGGTTACCATAACGTTATAGTGACCCAGTTTTTTTTTGCAGTATCTTATTTGATTAGCAAGTGCTTATTTTAATTAGATTTAATTATAGCATTTTTTTCTTTATGAGACTACCGCTTTATGTATTTTATTTGAATTTCCCCCACCCTAGTCCTCGATCCTAACCTGGTGGACCCGTAAGTAGTACGTGTAAAGGTCGCAATGCACCGCCAGTTTCCATAATTCGTAGCAGTGTTTACGTCTGATTCCGGGAAACAAACGTGACAGATTCTCCCTCAATTCTCCGTCACGAGTAAAGTTCGTCGAAAGCCGGCTCGTTTTCAACGGTCATGAATTTAGGTAGCGTTTACGCGAGAACACGATCATACACGTCGTTGGACAGATTAGATTCGAACGAATATTCTTTCAACACGACAACGGTCGTCGACAGCAACAGCAGCAGCACCGGGCAAACATCAAAACGACCGAAGTGACCGCACGGGGGGGCCAAAGAGCGATCAGCTGATCGGGCTGGACGAGCAGCGACAGGAGGAGACAAACGGTTGGCTGATCGGAGAGCGGATTGATATGGTAGTGGTAGTGATGGTGGCGACGACGATGGTAACGGTGACAGTGTGGTAGTGAAACTTCCGGTACAGGTTGAGCCGAGCGTGTGTACACACAGAATCGTGCGTCGTGGCGTTTCGACCGTCTACGATCTGCGAGCCGCGTTATCGTATCAGGTATACCGTTTCATCCGCGCGTCTTGTTACGACTTTTTCTCGTTGGCGCAAGTCGTGCGAACGGGCGATATCTTCGACGAGAGGAATTCTCCGTAGGCACGATCGTTAGACGTTAGTGCAAAGTAAACAGCACTCGCAAGGGAGGAGAGAAGGCGGAGGTGGTAAAAGAGGAGGAGGCCAAAAGGAGGAGGAGGAGGAGGAGGAAGCGCGGCGATCGCGACGTGCCCGATCCGCGATCCCGTGCTGCGTTTAGGGGCGCTCGCTCTTTTCGCTGGTGGTCGCGCTCGGCGACGTTCGCGCACGTCTATCCACGCGCGCCGGGCACGGGGAGGA